ACTTTGTTTTCTTTGGACGTAAAATTGACTTGAAGAGCAAATCATGGCGATGATTAATCGGAGAGACCATATGTGGAGGACTTGAGGGACTCCATTTCATATGTCTTGTGTACACACATGCGCGCATTTAATTTCAAATCTCGTTCACTATTTTCTTTTTTATATATACTAAAGTTAAACGTGAAGCTTTATTAAACAAAATAAATGTATTACGTCGATTGCAGAGAAAAAAACCAAAAAGTTGACTATGTTTTGCTTACGTATAATTCAATGTATAAATATAGTTGCATGCTTAGAAAATATTAATTACTAGATTTCAAAATTATAAGAGATAATAAATTAAAAAGACAGGCCACAACCATATCATATAAGACGTTTGGAAGAAGGATTGGTTTTTTTTGGTGTGGTTATCAACGATAGGACTTTGTTTAAATGTTTTGGTTTTATTTATCACATCAATATATCGCTCGTGCTGTGTCACAAATCAGATCATATATATGTACATATAATTCGCTGTGTTAGATATTCGTGCTTGGAAGGTTCGTCGCATATTTTTCATCGTCAGAATCTGATATCTCACTGCGCACAAATTTATATTATATAATTCGTTTTTAAAAGTATATTAATACTTGGTAATATTCGAACTTTTATAACCGAGATAACATGACAGACAACGAGTCATACAATGCGGCTCGTTAGTTGCGGTCTTCAACGTGGTCCGAGTTTCCTTTCGAATCTCTTATGTTATACTATATATTTACATTTTAAATAATCATTTTTCTTATGTATTTCCAAAACTGTACATGTTGCTTCCTCTTCTTTTCGTATTTTCAAACATCTCATTTGTTACAACCTATATATATAGTCACATGACCCTCATTGATATAACTATAAGTGAACTAATTAATAAGACTATAGTCTTACCTTTAACATGTCTCTTTATCACTCTGTTTGCTTTCTCCTCCTCCTCTCTATCTTCCATGGCTCTTACAGTCTCCAACCACTTCGAACTCCTCATCTCGATGGTACGAAAAATAATCAAACCATTTTTTCCATATTCACTAATTAGTCCAATAATTCTAAACATGAATTATTATATGGTTTATATTTATAGGGCTTCTCCCAAATGGAAACTTTGAGCAACCCCCTCTCAAATCAAACATGAAAGGTCGACAAATAATCGGCGCTAACTCTCTCCCTCACTGGCAAATCTCCGGCCACGTGGAGCTAACCGCCGGCGGACCACAACCCGGAGGATTCTATTTCCCGGTCCCACGTGGGATCCACGCGGTTAGGCTAGGAAGCTTAGCCACCATCTCTCAAGACGTTAAAGTGAAACGTGGCTTAGTCTACGCTCTAACGTTTGGAGCCACGAGGACTTGTGCTCAAGACGAAAACATCAAAGTCTCTGTCCCCGGCCAAGCCAACGAGCTTCCGATTCAGACCGTCTTTAGCTCAGACGGTGGAGACACGTATGCTTGGGCCTTTAACGCAACTTCTGATTTGGTTAAGGTCACTTTCCATAACCCTGGTGTTCAAGAAGACCGTACTTGTGGGCCCCTCTTAGATGTTGTCGCTATCAAAGAGATTCTTCCTCTCCGGTATACCAGAGGTAAAATTGCTAACCGGTTCAAAACCGGTTAATTTTTTTTTTGCATTTTAGTCNTTTAGTTTTGTTTGGTGCTCTTATTTCACCCGGTAACTTTTTTATAGGAAACTTGGTGAAAAACGGAGGATTTGAGACCGGACCTCACGTATTCGCTAATTTCTCGACCGGAATCTTGATTCCGGCGAGGATACAAGACTTGATATCTCCGTTACCTGGATGGATCGTGGAATCACTCAAACCGGTGAAATACATAGACAATCGTCATTTCAAAATTCCGTCTGGACTCGCCGCCGTAGAGCTCGTCGCCGGAAGAGAAAGCGCAATCGCTCAGATCATCCGTACAGTCGCCGGTACACACTACGCCATCTCGTTCGCGGTCGGAGACGCGCAAAACGGCTGCCACGGGTCGATGATGGTTGAGGCGTTTGTGGGGAAATCAGCGTTTAAAGTTCCGTTTGAGTCGCAAGGTAAAGGAGGTTTTAAAACGGGGCGTTTTGCGTTTGTTGCTGATTCGAATCGTACGAGGATAACTTTTTATAGTGGGTTTTACCATACCAAGCTTCATGATTTTGGGCATCTTTGTGGGCCTGTTCTTGATAGTGTTGTTGTTCTTCCGGCCCATTAATAATTTATGGTTTTTTAAAAAATTGTAATCAGCTTGACTATTACAATAAGAAATTCGTATGCAAATTTTTTTTAACACTTTATTTCATTAAAAATG